GGCGAGTTGGCTAATTTTAGCAGCGACATTCAATACAAATGGTTAAAAATTTCACATATACCGAATATTAGAAATAAGCACAAAAATCTTCTAGCATACACACACACACACAATGTTGCCTATAATGGAGGTTCACTACAAAAAAAAACAAAAAAAACAGAAACACACAAGCAAGTATGTCGAGGGTTATTAAATAATTTCGAAAATATTCTCAAAAGCTTTTTGGACCAACGAGTAAATTCACACAAAGGAAATTATTGAAAAAACAATGGAATTTAGGAGCAGCGAAGTCGCCGTGAGATTAGCAAGCAACACTGCGTATATGTATGTGTGTTTGTATGTAGTATGTGTTTTGGGATTTCTGCTGTACTCATTTGCAAGAGTTTTTAATATACATACACACATGCATACATACATAAGTACATTTATTACTAAGCATTTTATGTTTGTGCATATTTTTTTCGGGCGAGCTGATTTTTTCTTTTCTTTGTGTTGAACATCTGCATACACACATCTTGCTTGTCCACTTTAGTCATGCAGTTGTACAGAGATGTCAAAAAAAATGTCAAACAACATGCTGTTCGCCATCAAAGTGAAAAGCGACATTTGAAATTATTTGGCTTTTAAAATTTGTGCCGCAAAAAAATATAAATAAAATTTTCAATGTAGTTAAAGTAGTAGGAATCACTAAATCTCTGGGAAAAGCATTACTTAAGCATTTAACAATGACTAATATACTTATACGAAGGATTTCTCAGTAATACTTAATGAGCAACAAATATCTACAATTCAGCATGTGATCATTTAAAATTTTGAAACCTAGCAATAAAAGCAGGCTTAACTGACTAAAAAATCACATTTGAACACAAACATCACTCAATCTCTTTTATGGTCGTTATTAAATGGCTTTATCTTATAAAAGACGTTTCGAAATTGAAATTAAGAGAGTGAGCTTCTAAAATTTTAATCAACGTCCATATAAAAAAAAAATGTATTTCCATAGAATGGCAAACATTTTGATTTTATTTGATTGATTGGTTCTACCGGAAGCATCAATCGAAAAACACCAATATTTAAATGCAATTTCAATTAAAACTTGCTCTCAACAAAAGCGCAATCTCCACTCTCTACTGTATTATTCTATATAAAAATTTCTTACAACTTATTTGTCGTCGTCTGCATTTTACCGTTTATATTTTGCATCCATGAAATTCAATTATAAATGTCAACTTCCGTATGATCAAAAATGTCCACATTTGAAAAGTTTAAAAATGTAAGCCCAATTTTTAATAACAAAAACCACTTTTTTAAATCACCAAAAATACATACATACATACTTATATGCCTACGTTTTAAGCAACCAATAACTTATGTCGAGTTTTGAAAAGTACCGTTTTTAATTTACCAGAAATCTATGTTCAATATTAAAATGACAAAAGCCTTTGGGGGCATTTATTAAATGGCCAAAACTGTATGCATATTTTTCATATGACCAATAATTTATGTCCAGTTTTTAAATTACCAAAAATTTTGTTTCCAGCTTTTAAATTTTCAAAAACTGTTTTTGCATGCAAATAAAAATATTTAAAATTTTTAAATTATCAAAAATTTATGTCCATTTTTTAAATTATCAAAAATATAGATATGCCAGATTTTAAAATTAGCGAAAATTAATTAGTTCATAGAAAACTAGTTTCATGCATATATCGAGCCCTAACCGCCAAAATAACGTAAGCGACATTTTTTTCGAAATTTTATTTTTAATGCAGAAATGCTTCTAGATGCTCTAGGAATATTTCTGCATCAAAAATAAAATTTTGAAAAAAATGTCGCTTACGTTATTTCGGCGGTTAGGGCTCGATATGTACATAGATGTGCACATACATACATATATTTAACTAACTTTATGTATGTACAAAGCTAAATATTTTTTATTGCACATAAGGGTTAAATACTGGTGCATATGAATGATTGATCAAAGTAATTTCAAACAATATCATCATCATCATCCAATATACAAACCGCGGGATCTTCACTTTATTGGTAGTGTTATTTCTTTCGCGCTGATGAGCTTTCGAAAATCTAGAAATCTTTTATTTTTACTTACACATAAATCCTTTTTCAATAGAGGTATTCACGATCCGTTGCATACTGTTTATCATGGAGCACAGATAGCATAAATAGCTTGATTGGATAATTTTGTTGCTGTTTCATGTGTTCAAAAAACAAAAAAATTAGCCAATTATGC